CCCCCGCCGCCGCCGGCTACCTTTCACGTCGGGTCGAGTAGACAGTGAGAGGAGAGCCGCACTCGCAGCGCATCCTCTCAGCTGTCACAGCTGTGCTAGAACTCCTGTATTGGAGGTGACGGGGTCAATAAAGAGAACCTGTCACCTCCAAATGCTATCACACAGGGGCTTGTTAGCTAGCTCCTGTGCGATAGCAATAAAGTTAAGTGAAAAAAAATAAAAAGTTATAAAATAAACATTTATGAAAAAATAAGTAAAAAAATAATAATTAAGCCCTGGCTGCAATACTCACCTGTATCCAGAGATTTATCCTGCAGTAGCCTTTTTTTGCCACTAGATGTCCTCAGTCTGATGGCCAGAATCACTCAACCCAATTCCTCGGAGCCCAGGCCATCCTGGACCCCCCAACAGAGTGATGAGCTCATCTTTCTGCCACTCTCCCCTCTGGTTTATCCTCCTTTCAGCATGCTTCTTGTCAGCACATAAACTGATTGACTCCTCATGCTGCTTTTTTCCTCTCACGCTCCAGCCCTGCTGTACAGACTACAGCCCTGATACCAGGTCTGATTCTGGCACACACACTGCTTGTCTTTAATGACTTCAGAGCTGCATTAATTGGTGTCTTTTATAGCTGCCTGGAGAGGGAAGAGTGTTAGAGAGGCCAGTCCTGAATTGATACACCCCAATTAATATGTCAGGTTGCATGATGTTGGGGATGTTAGTTCAGGAGTGGCATTGCTGGAGCAGGATGCTTCCTGGGTCGTCCGGGGGAGTGACTGCTCCAGTAAGGATGGGAGTAGGAAGATGGTAAAAGAGAGAGAGAGAGATCCTGGTAGTGGGAGACTGAATAAATCCCCGGGAGCAGATAACTTGCACCCACGGGTACTTAAAGAGCTAAGTTCAATCATAGCGAGGCCATTGTTCCTCATTTTTAAGGACTCCATACTGACTGGGGAGGAGCCAGCTGACTGGCGTAAAGCAACTGTTGTACCGATATTTAAAAAAGGTTTGAGAAGCGTGCCCGGGAATTACAGATCAGCCAGCTTAACATCCATAGTATGCAAGCTAATTGAGGGTATGATAAAGGACCATATTCATGAATATGCTGATGGGCGTGATATCATAAGTGACAACCAACATGGCTTCAGGAAAGACCGTTCATGCCAAACCAACCTATTAGCATTCTATGAGCAGGTGAGTGACAACCAAGACAGAGGAAAGCCAGTGGATACCTTGATTCTGCAAAAGCATTTGATACGGTACCTCATAAACATTTCATTTGCAAGCTTCAATCCTTGGGCATCGATGAAATGGTGTGTACTCGGATAGAGAGCTGGCTAAGTGAACGTGTCCAGAGAGTATCAATAAATGGCTCATTTTCCATGTGGTCCTCAGTTGCAGTGCCATGGGATTCTGTCTTGGTGGTCCCCAGTGGTCCTGGGGTTTGGGTTCCCCCTCCCCAGGATTAGACGCAAGATGAAAGAGTTCTGAATTTGAAGAAATTATCTTGGATAGCCCTTGGCTAGTATGTCGGTGCGCCAAGTAATATTTGTTATGTTGGGAAAGAGATAGTTGGCCTACCGTGTGGTACGCACTGTTACCATATGGACTCATTGGTTTTCCCCGCTCCTGAGATGCACTACCAACCTTTGGGCTCTGTCTTCTCTATGGCCCTGGTGTTGCAGAGATTCCCCTAGGTCAGGGGTAGGCAACCTTGGCTCTCAAGCTGTGCTGGAACTACAAATCCCATAAGGCATTGCAAGCCACGGGCATGACTCCCAGAGGCAGAAGCATTATGGGATATGTAGTTTCGGCACAGCTGGAGAGCCAGGGTTGCCTACCCCTGCCCTAGGTGGTGGCCTGGAGCTACCAGGAAAAAGAGAGGTCTCTCATATGTAAAGTTTCTCTGAGATACTATTGAAGAGTTAAAAGGAGAACTATGAGGGGGAGGGGCTTTTCACTCATCCTCATATTTCTAGCCGACCTGTGACAATGAGACTGTCACAGGTCGGCTCAGTAGATCGGGAAGTGAGCGAACACATACCGTCACTCACCGTGACAGCGGAGGGACTGGATTCCCACCACCCCCATCGCTGACTGGCGGAATGGACGGGGAAGGTGGCGGTACAGCTGGATCAGCCTCTAGATAGGCGGAGCCAGCTGTCACTCACGCAGCTGGGTGGATCCAGACAGCATTGTCGGGATCCGTAAAAATTTAAAGTGCAACTGAAGCCAAAACTTTTTTTGTTTTAGTGTTGCTCCTTTAAGAGCTCAGGTTTCTGACCTCATTTAACTGTCCGATAAGGAAGTTGGCCCTAAAGCAGGATCTGGCTGAAAGGAGAACTATGAGGGGGGGGGGGTGCTTTTCACTCACCTCATAGTTCTAGCCGACCTGGGACAATGAGACTGTCACAGGTCGACTCAGTAGATCGGGAGGGGAGCGAACAACCCCCCTCCCCGCTCCTATCCGCCAGCGCTGACTGGCGGAACCGACGGGGGAGGGGGCGGGTACAGCTGGCTCTGCCTCTAGATAGGCAGAACCAGCTGTCACTCACGCAGCTAAAGAAAACCGATATAAATATAAAAACTGCTGATAACACATCGTCCTGGTAGGTTAAAAATTCCAAAATTTTAGGAACACATTGCGTCCTGTCTTTATTTGGCCATGTGTCTTCTAAACATCTCATGCAGGTTTCACTGTCTGCAAAATAAATAATACAATGTTATATACCAGAGGCTAAAATGGCTCACCATGGGCTTCAAATGCTGCAATTACCAGTTAAAGCTCCTGACCATTGGAGAATTTGTTCACATACAGACCACCAGAGCGATTTGAAACATAAAGATGGTCTACCAGTGACTCAGGAGAAACATTTTAAAAATCCATTCAAGTCCCTGAACTCTGAACAACAATGTATCTTATTTGTGTATCACTCGGCTGTAGATCCTCCAATCATCTCTGACACTGTCCTTCCTTCTGGAGGGTGACTACGTCTGTTCCCCATGGTCCCTGTGTGTGTTGTAAAGTTGTAAAGTAGTCACCGCTTGAAAGCTCCCCGCACGTAACAGGGTTGTGACACTGAAAACCCGGAAATGTCTGCAGGACAGACAGGGCCGGATTTCCCACAAGGCCAACCAAGGCCCAGCCTTGGGGCAGCAGGGAATAGAGGGGCAGCAGGGGTGTGGAATTCCTATCTCCCGATGCCTGGG